AAAACTCAAAAGCAGCATTGCTCAAACCAAACACACCATCAGTTAATACATCATCCTTCCAACCTCCACAGCCATTCTGATCTTCTCCACAGCAATAAATGACGCTATCAAAATCTTGGCATTCATCTAAAGCATACCACTGCTGATCTGTAAGTTTGTGAGTTTTATATCTCCTCCATTACTATCATGTCTTAACTCACCAATGCAACCTAGCCTTTGTACTTAGCTTTCTTGTCTTCTCCTGACCTTAGACTTGGCTCCACTCCTGTTTACCTCCTGAATTTCAGAACCAACTTCTAGAGCTTGAGTCAGACTATATGATTCTGTTTACATTTTTGCATGAGTCCTTACTCTCTTTAGAAAGATAACAAGCTCTTTAGCAAGGCAGGTAGGCAGACAGACAGGCAGGCAGGCAGGTAGGCAGGTAGATGGACCGATGCACAGGCAGACAGACACACATTCACTCAGAAATACACACACACACCCTACTCTATATGATCTGATCACTGCCTCTGGCTACATCACCAACTCTTCACTCTTCTCCCTAGAATCACACCAGCATTTTTAAGCTACTAACAATTGATACCATTTCTCTCTCCTTTGCATATCCTCATCTACATCAGTTTTATTTTCTGGTTGGAACACCCATCCACAGATCTCTAGCCTCCATTTTAACATCAGCTATGTAGCTCATCATTATTCTGTATTTGTATAATGTTCTGTCCTCCTTCAAAGTACTTACAACTCAACATTGAAATTCAGTCTACATTATTTTAAATGGTGCTTGTCTTCAAATTTAGCACTATGATATATACGACTCTGTGCCATATTTCTCCACATAGGCATTATAGATTGATTGTAGACAGTAATAGCAAATGTCTGTTATGGCAATGAACTCTTTTTTCAGTGCTGGAAACTTCACATACTAGCAGAAAAAAACTTATTTGTTTGATGTAATTTGTCGATATCATAGAAGCAGACAGGTAAACCATGTAGCAAATAAACCAACTTGACATACCAAATACTAAATGAGCATTGGAATTAAGTATCAGAAGATTGATAGAAGACAGAGACCACTAGGCATCTCTTTGGTTGCTGAAGAAAGGTGTAAAATAAAAGATAAGATGTAGGCTAAGCAAATATAAGAACCTGAGGCAGAGTTGAAGGTTAATGCACACTTAAACACACACACACACACACACACTCACACGCACATGCACACACATATATATGTATATACATATACTGTATGTACATATATGTATAGTTACATGAGGTCAGGGGTAGGGTGATGTTCTTTGTTGCTTTGTCCATCAGGCCTCACATATAACTTGCTTATAGTAACTGCTAAATAACAATTCCTTGAATCGAATTTTAAGCTGTGCAGCTGGTGATACAAGAAACATCTGTATATTTTTAAAGCATTACTTCTCCCCATTTGCCATTCCATAAAAAAGGTAATTTTGTGAATGTGTTTACTAGAACTCTTTCCTGAAAAGTGAAATATTGCTTCAGTTGGTTGGCAAATGTGCCATTTCAAAAATGAAGAATCTGCTTCAAATGAAGAAAAAGCTATTTTGGTTCATAATTCTCAGAGCCAAATTTGAATCGTAAAATGCACTTTTCATCAAAGAATCTTAACAAAAAGATTCCTGCCAATTTAACCAAGACATCTAAAAATATTCCATTCTAGAGCCAAGCTTCCTGCTTAGCAGCATTCTGACTGAGATCATGGTTTCCAAAGATCTTCCACTGGGTGATGGTCACTCAAGTCAAGAGCTTGCCATACTGTCAACACCTTCCGAAGAACTCATAATTGTATACTGTTTAGAAACGCTTTCCAATTTTTCTATATTTTAAAGTTTTCCTGAAACTTTTATGTATTCAACAATAACCATAGCAAACAACTGTAACTAGAGGTATGTGTAAGTTGTAGATGGAAACCTCTCAGTGTTTATTGTCTACAATTCACCCAGGAAGAAACGGAGACCTGATGTGGTACACGGCTGTCAAAAATGAACACAGGGCAGCAACAGAAATGGATGCTGGGTACAATGAATGTTTGCCTTGTTAAGTTAAATGTAACGAATGTCATTTTATTAATCCTGGTAGTTGTCTAGGATAGTAGAAAAAGAACTATACCCTCCTTTGACACTTAAGAAAATAAAGATCTTTTTGACTGTCCGTAACCTCAGTGTGACCAAGAAATAAAGCTGACACCTAACACCCCTGATCCAGCTCTGGATCTTTCTACAAGTATCATCTATTTTGTTTTTAAATCCCATCAATACACACCTGTATTGCTGCAGTTCAAATATGTGAATGGTCTGGGGAATGTCATTCTTGAAAGGCAGAAGATGTACAATAATAAAAGTTACAGCTACCAGAGCCAAACCATATTGAACAAATGTGGGTAGTAATCAACCTTGAGATGTCACTTAAATAGCTAATAAAATTCTTTAGAAATAAATATAATCAAAACGTCCTAACTCTGGTAGCCTTTGTACAATATATGTGTCTTACAGTGAGTTACCCATGGGGGCCTAACTCATCTGTTGCTTCCAAGTGAATAACCGTATTTTGAAACAAGATAATAGTTATATGTGTTACAAAGCTGTTTTTGGAGGATTAATTTTAGGTCAGTAAGATTGGCAGCCCAAAGTGTTGCTGGACAAATGCATGGGTGTCAGCATTAAGCTAAGAAAGGAGTCTGGCTTGGAACTTTTCACACCTGCTTCAAATCATTAATGCTGCAGTGTTGTCCCACTTACAAGCTGACATTTATTTTTGCACTTTCGACATCCCATGACTTCTCTGCAACAGTAAATAGCTCAAAGTGATTACACCCTGCCCCAGCTGGATCCGTATTTTGACTAGCAGGTCTTGGCATTGTGTCCACTTCTGATCCCTCTCTAACATGGTGCATGGAGGGTAAAAATGTCAGTGAAGTTCATGAAGAAAATGAAAGCTTGCCATCGAAGGCATAATACCCCTAAGTCCTTTGGAATCTTTTGTAGTAACCTGGAGTCATTTTGTGAGCATTGCTTTATCCCTTAAATATTTTTTTTTATTTTCTATGAAATATTATTCTGTAATGTCTTTAAAAAGCAGCTAGTAAAACAAAATTTTGTTAGAGAAGATGAATAAAATTTAATAAAAATAAATGAGATATGAATCTGATTGACCACATGTAGAAAATACAAAACCTTAACTGATTTCTATATAACTTTGACATTTGAAATTCAATTTAGAGTCAAGTACCTGGAATTGTAGAGGTGCCCAGATTAGGACATTTTCTATTTTTATGTTGAAATTCAAAATATGTAAATTGATGGACAACTTCTCAAATCTCACAAAAGTAAAATATTTGCATATCTGAGAAATTAATTTCTTAAGAAACACATTTTCTATTTACACAGGAGAATTTCCTACTGTGTCTTTCCCAAGTTATCCAGTATTATCTTTCTTCTGTGTTTGTGTATCATACAATAAAAATGTTCTCAATTATTAGATTAACAAATTTCTGTTACTGACCCACTACTGAGTTAATTGATTATATCCCTCAAGTTTCTGTAAAATGGTTCGAATCTTATGGTGTCTTTAGATTGATACTACCAAGTATCTGTAACTGATATGCTGGTTTCCACTTTGAATTCTGGGATTATGAGAACTTCTGTTAAATTGAAGTGAGAGCCAGACTAAATCCTAAGACTTCAAACTTCTTGAGTTAATTAGTATACCCTAAATTTTATGTCCCAATGGCTGGTTTAGAAGTGTTTGTATAAAAGCTTACACTCTTCATTTCCTTCTTTAATTATTTGTCCACTCTCAAGACAGGAGGACAGGAGGATGTCATAGAATAACCTGAAATGTGCTGTGTGCTATCAGGTATGAAAGGAATACTGTAATATCAAGATTCACTTTATCTAGACAGACTTCCAAGAAGAGGAGAGGAGAGAGGGGAAGGGAAGGAAGGGGGAGGGGTAGGAGGAGGGTTAGGGGAGGGAGGGAGAAAAGGAGAGAGGGAGAGAGACAGAGAGAGAGAGAGAGAGAGAGAGAGAGAGAGAGAGAGAGAGAGAGAGAGAGAGAGAGAGAGAATTTACAGGAAAATGTCCCTCAGTTAAGTGGGGGAATCTGGGACACTTGTCCTTGTCATGTATGTCCGCAGTGCTCCAACGTGGGCACCAGGGGGCGCTCCTGTATGAAGCATACCCCCCCTAAAAGTGCTTCCCTGTTGTAGAACACAGGTTCTTCCCACACATCCCTCTCTCTTAGTGCTTATTCTTTGTCCAAAGACTCAGTGTAGCTGTCAATAAACTGTATGTGCTTGGTACACATGATGATTAGAGTCACAGGAGCTGTAAGAAAGTACACTTGGTATTAAGATTGCCTTTTTGGATAGAGACTGGCCAGCTTTTATTTTATCTCACTGGATTAGCAGAAGGGCTTAAAGGAGATGGAATGTAGTGGCGAGCAGAGATCTCAAATGTCGTTAAGTACAAGGAGGCAACTTCCTAAAGCAACAAGTGGGCATCAACATCCCAGGCCTAAGTACTTAATCACTCTGTGATAGTTTAGTTTGTAAGATAGACTTCCTGGTAAATTTGTTTTCTTGGTTCTTTTTTTTCTTTTTCTTTTTTGTCACATTCAAATCCTTCTTTTATCATGACTTACCCCCAAACCCAGAACTTTAACTTGACAAACTGAGGCTTCCAAGAAGCTGTCAGAACCATAGGTTCTGCAGGGGGCCTCCAGCATATTACTGCCTTTACAGGTGAATGTGTGAGGTATTTTACTCACTCTGTATTGGATCGAAATTGGAAAAAGTGCAAACAAATAGGGGTTGTTCTGTCATTACACATACCATGGATTCCAGAGCAATATACCCTTCCCCTGTCCCCACATTACACATATATTCAAGCGTACCCCATCCCCCAGTGACTGCACAACCCCCACACAGTCCCCATCACAGAAACATATCTATGAGCATTAATACTCACCATATTGACTTCAGAAACCATATCGATGCTGGCGATATCAATGTTCATTCCTACAGCCACAGGGGGACCTGCAAACCAAGATGGTCAGCCACGTGACTTCTCAGAACTTAGTCATTCACACCAAGAGTTGTCACTGGACACTAAAGAAACCCCCTCTGTAGTGTTACTCTTCAGATTCATTGCTTTCCTACATCTTTGCAATAAGAATGTGGGGGATACTTTTCTAGGAATATGCACACATGTACTGGTCAGACAATGATGCCGGCTGGCCGTGTCTACACATGCTGATGTCTCAGCATGTGAATTCTTACAACTCACAGCAACACAGTTTTAGCCCTAGGGATTTGTGTATATTGCATTGAAACCCCCTCCTTCTTCTTTTCCCCACCCACTTCTGTGTGTAGGTTTTAACTCTTTGAGTTCCATTAAAAGTATGAGCAAAATTAAACGGCCACACTAGCATGTCTGGGGCTCCAGGGAGAGGTGCCCTTTTCCCTCTGTTATCTTTATTCTCAATTCTGCAGACCCACTTCTCCCCTATGCCATTCCTGATAGAGGGCTGGATAAAATCCCTTCATGAGTCACTTTAAACGGTGGCCAGAACTCTTCTAAAGTAGATGGGCACAGAGAGTTGAGGCCACCTCTCAGCCAACCGCCTGCACATTGTGTCCTCAAAAATACTCACATTATAAGACAGCCCCCGCCGGGCACACCGTTAACTAAACTTAAGAGGCTTGTATCTCAAGAAACCTCAAACTGGGAACAAAGATGTATCACAGTGAAGGAGAAGGAGAGCGGTTACGAAGTCTGATCACACTCTAAGGGGGTCTTCTTAGACCTCTCAAGTACTGGACAGAAACAAACTGGCTTAAGTTTGGATCTGTTTCTCAGCAAGGTAAAAAGGGAAACATTCCATACACCACATGCACCCACAACTAAGGAGAGGAAAGAGAGCGCACACAAAGCCCCAAAGACAGCTTAGGCTGGAGCTGGGCTGTTTCTTATTTGCAAGGCAATCCCATTACCTCCAAAATCTGGTCTCAGACGAATGTCATATCCTTTCAACAGTCTGTCCACCGTCTCTTTAACCAGCGACATATTACTAGGGTCATTGACACTAAAGAAAAAAATGACAATAACAAGGAATGAATAAAGAAGACAGCACGGCATCTTCAACAACCCTGCTCACAGAGAGGTATGCAGACAGAGCCCTGACAAGTGAGAAAGGAAAGCGACACTTACCTCTGAGCACAGACAGCGGCGATTATTAAGGGAAATGACCAAATCCCAAAGTAGCCCCTTTTCCGGACTCTCCACATCCCTTTAGTTTTTGGTGGGATTGAGGGATTCACTGAAGAGAGGAGATCCAACTTAGTCTGCCCAGTGCAGTAATTCTAATGTGGAGCGCATGCGCACGGCGTACCAAAACATCAAAGGGGCAGCGGCGGCTGCCGGGGACCGAGATTTCCTTGTTTAAAAAAAATTAAAGGGGAAAAAGGAAAAGAAGCATATATATGTGTAATATGTACATGTTTGAATAATATTAAACTACTACCCCAGAAATGCATCCAGAGTAAAATCTTCGTTGTTTTTATTTTTTCTTTAAGACAAAAGCAACCAGAGCGTCTGGTAAGTTTCTGTTCTAGAAGGTAGTTGCAACTCACGATGTGGTGGGGTTTTAGTGTGTGTGTGTGTGTGTGTGTGTGTGTGTGTGTGTGTGTGTCCTTAAATACTAAAAAGAAAAATAGGAGTGGAGTGTAAGGGAGGAAGATTGGTTCCTGAAACCCCACTCCTCTGGTTCTAAGCAGGTTGAAAGGGGCAAGGAGTTGAACTTTATTTCTGTAAGAATAGCAATCCCCTGCCTGGGACAAGCGGAGGTGGTGGGGGTGGGGTGGGAGCGCTAGGAGAGGGAAGAGGAGCAGTGGGAACTGGAGTCCGAGGAGGAGAAAAAAAAAAACCAATGGGAGGAGTGCCGAGCAAACGTTGGATTTTGAGCGGGTGGGGGGGGTGGACTCTGAATATGAAAGAATTGGAATGGGTTTGAGAAGAAAGGGGAAGGATACAGGAATTCAAAGATGCTGGTTTTTCCTGGGAATCAAGGGGCGAGCTTTTTCTTCACTACTCACAGCGATTTCTTTCTCTTCTTCCTGCTCCCCCTTTCCCCCCTGTTCTCTGGGAAGAAAACCTCGGGGTCCTGGTTTCTGGCGTTGTGACGCTCCTGACCCGCTAGTCCGGTTATTTATAGCAGAAGGGGGAGGGAGCGAAGGGACCTGTCAGGCAAAGGCTTCTCTGGGTTTGGGTCTGACTCTGCACTGGGAAATTTTCAGTGGTACGGATGAGGTGTGTGTGACTGAGGGACAAAGGAGGTGGGGGTTTGAGGGACAGAGGGTGACAGGCGTTCCAGCAAAGGTGCGGGGCCAAAAGACACCCAGCGCGAGGGCGGGTGGCAGGGTGGGATGCGTTCCTCTGGCCCCCCACGCCTCGCGGACGCACGCGCACGGCAGGCACACACACACACACACACACACACACACACACACACACACACACGGGAGACACACGTGCGATCACAGTCCTTGCCACCCACCACTCCTTACCTCACCAGCAGGAGCTCTCCGCCCACTGCTGTGGCCCAACAGAGCTGCACCCCTGCCGCTCCGCTCTGGCCAGCTAAAGCTGCACCTCTGCGTCCAAAACCCAGTGGTTCACAGAAGGCAGGCACAATGAAAGAACCCTGAGGCCGCCTGAGCCACCGAGCCACCTATTTACACACCACAGTTCCCTCTCTTCCCTCTCCTAGCCCAAGGGGACCCAAGGCTGCCCCCTTCCCTCCTGCTCCAGGCTCAACACGGACACAGATCAAGACTCATTTCATAGGAAAAATCATTTCCTCTGCTCGGGGCTCGCGCGGGGGTGCGGGGCGGGGTGGGGTGGGGGAAAAGAGGATGCCAAGAGTACCGGGACTGGGATGTCCTGGAGTCGTGTTCCCTGGTTTATCCTGGAGACCAGAGGGAGTAGAGCAGGTGCTTCAACTACCTCAGCACTCTTTAGTGAAGAAGTGGAAAGGCTGAGCTCAACCCTGGGTCCTGGACCCCAGTATTCAACCTAAATCTACTATTGAGCCTTGTCATTTACCGAGAGTGCCTACCAAGTGCAGAAAGCCGAGCTTAAAGCAATATTAGCTCGAAGTTGACTCCTTAGTGACCCCATTTTATGGGTTTAGAAACTAGCACACGGAATCTGAGGAACATGTCCAAGGTCATTCCGGAGGAGAAGGGTGGAAAGTGAATTGTTCTTTTAAAGCAGTGTTTCTAACCCTTAGACTAGACTACCTCAACTCTTAAGTTCAGGACCTTAACCTCTGCTAGCTTCCTGCTGCCACGCGGGGCACCTCCAAGCGCCCGCGGCGCCTGTGGGATGGAAAGCTCACAGATTACACAGAGCTGGTGGTCCAGCAGGTCTCAGGTGGGAGCAGCGACCAGATTCACAGGGTTAGCAGCTAGCTTAGCGCTGCAGGATACCAGCTGAGGGCTTTTAGTCCTCACTGTGGCCAGGTCCAGCTTCCTCTCTTGACCCACATAGTACATGACACCCCCATCTCCTCCTCCTCCTCGTATGCGTGCGCCCCGGGACATTCAGAGTCATTATTCTGGGGCAGCTTTGAGAGGTGACTCCAAGGGAACTGTGGAGGAGGGATGGCTGTCAGCGGGAATCTGATAGTTTCCCTAGGGTAGAAGAGAAACTAGAGGGAAATAGTCTGGGGAAGATTCTAGGTTAAAGACAGGTAAAGCATAGCACCACGAACTCAGTGCAAATGTACTACTGTATGACTATCTGCAAGGCTGGAGGCTTACATGAGCACACACTCACACACACACACACACACACACACACACAAACAAACAAACACATACTGGTGTGGAATAGAGGGAACTTTGGAGATTTCCTTTTCTTTGCTCTCACAGTAAGACTAATATTCAAGCTAAATGTAATGAAGAAAGAAAAACATGTTTCAATAACCAAAAAATTCCCAAAGTAGTTAGCCAATAAGTGGATCAAGTCTTAGAAAATTCTTTTGTTTCCAAAAATATCCTCAGACACAGACTCCCTTCTAGTAATTAATCCTCTTATCCGTCCATCACCTTCAGGAAGGTTTTCTAGTTAGAGCTGAAAGAATGAAGTTTAGTAAACAAAGTAAATCGCAAAATACTCTCACTTCCACCCAAAGTAATAGTAGCGATCCAAGAAATGATTCGATAAGCACATGATTAGAAAGATCTATTATGAATGGATCTACTCAAACACCTAGAAATAACTACAAAACACTGATGTCTCTAAACTGTGGTCTCCTTTATTGATCTAAACTAGATAAATGTTAATACTCTTTTCTCCATTGGGTTAATGTTGAATGATGTTGCTTGGGTAGCATTTATCATGCGATTAGCACAGATCAGCAATCTTTAATGAATGGACACAAAAGAAAACAACGTGGAGTGGCAGTCATCTTTAAAGATGGGAAGGTCACAAATCGGATGCAATTATTATAAATTTGCCTGAGGAGAATAAAAGAGCAGCCATTTGGAGAAAGTCAAAGAGCGTTGTAAACCATGAAAAAAAGCAGAATATCAAAAGACGACAGATCAGTTGCCTCTACAGGGTAGCTCCCATGGCTATCTCTTATCAGTGATTATAGGGACTAATATTAAAAATATACTTATTCCAGTTATAAGATGCAAGGTGGGCATGCCTAAAGCAAATTGTATTCCTGCGACTCTCAGGACGATTTGCTGGTATAGCTACTTTGGAAAATCCAAAATTGGGAAAGAAATATCACCTTTAATCTGAAGTTGTGTGGACCCATGGAGAGCATGATCCAAGATCCAAAATGTGAACTCACTGGCAAAATGTCAGCCCTCAAAGAAAGCATGGTTTTATAGTTATATCTGAGTCACTAGTATATAAACACAAAGTGGCAACAACCATCCACAGTCTGTCACTCTTCTCTGTGTGTACTATTTACTCATCATTATGCACAAATGCTATTTGAACAAAATTGACAAGGATGGCCTGAAAACAGATATGCTCCTCACCCTCCTGGAATGTATATTCTAGTATAGCAAACGATTATTCTAGAAATAACTGCAAACTGAATATGAGAAAATGAAATGGTCTCTAACGTTTGCGATTACTCATTCTGAGGATGAAGGTAAAGTTTGTAACTGAAGAAATGATTCATTGCTTGAAATTTGAAAGGTAAGCTATCCTTGGGCTGGAACTATACTCAAAATATCTTTCCTGTTGGTAAACTCCCATAGCATCTAGAGGTGTTATGCAGGCAGCCACAAACTTTAGGAGCTACAGTGCCAACTTATCAGGCCAGAGGAGTTCGCTTGTACAAGAGTTGCACGACTATTATGGTGTGACAGAAAACCTTCAGATTGTATTTGAGGCCCACTCCACAGGAGAGGATGCATACCCCCTACTTTAAACTTGGTTAAAAAATGATTTCTCAGGGTGTTATAGACCTTGGAGAACCTCACCACTGTTGTTTGCCGAAATTGATATGGTAGTGTAGATGGATGATTATGTTTAGGTCCATAGACAAATGAGTCTCTCTCACCCTAACTTAGAGAAGCTTCTTCTTGCAGCGAATGGCAGGGAATGTAGAGAGTAGACACATGGCTACTCAAGATTGTTAGACTAAATGATGATTGAGTGCTCAGCTCTAAACAGGACACTTTTAACTACAAGAAGTAATTAAGGCAAGGCATCATCCAGAAGATAGGGAGATAGTAAAATGCTATCTTTAGGCCAGGACACAGCCATTGCAATCATCAGCTCACAGCAGCGTCAGCTGCACTGAGTTGGAGCAAGACTGGACAAGTCAATAGATAATTCTGAATCCTGTTGGGGCTTACAGGACACTGACCTACTCTGCTGAACTACTGCCAACTGATAGATTCTTGAGTAGGTAAAGTTATCTCCCTTAGAGTATAGCAGAGAGTGAGTCTACTAAATTCCAGTTGGTAATAATGAGCCTGTAGCCACAGGGGTGATCCTGGTTAGAGTCGGTGGGTCACAAAACAAAACAGAAAGTCATGAATGAGGAGAGAGGACCTGTAAAGGGTAAGACTATGAGAGAAGTGGAAGAGAGATGAGAAGGAGCTGGGAGTGGAGGAAAGGATGTACTACATAGAAATGAAACAGGGAAAGAGCAAATTTAACTAATAATAAGAAGAAGGATAAGCTATCCTAATCTAGAGTTAATGGAAGAACAGTAGAGCTAGAGGGTGAGAACTAGAGTAGCCACTGAAGAGACAAAGGGAATATGGCTATGTTTAGAAGCAGAAGTGTAGCTGCTGAATCTTAACTGCACTGGAGAATGACAGGTGTGGCTGTATGGGATCTGTCAGCATTGAGGGGTGAATGCAGATGAGAGATGATGTTGCTCTGAATTAAGATGATGATGTGATGATAAAAATCAAACATATCACTCTCATCCTAAAGACAAACTGGCTAACCTTTCTGACAGGTGAGATCTGGAGAATGGGGGTTAGAAGGATTTTGGGGTGACTCCTATATGTCTAGTCTGAGCTACAGGGTGGTAGTGATAGTCAAGTATCTGGTATGCTGGTTATGATACATTCAGTTTGACCATGTTTCAGTACACCTTACAAGCAAAGGTTCCTGTATATTTGGCTCTCTGCAATCTAATGCTTAGAATTGAGGGTTGAGAGCTAGGCTGGGGCCAGAGCATCACCCACTTCTTGACACTGTATACTTTTCTTTCTTGCTTGATTAATTTTTATTTTTGGACGTATTGCTATGTAATTATAGCCATACTTTATCCATTTCATTTTTATCTTTCTAAATAATAATTTAAATAATACATTATAAAATGTGGTTTTTTTTCCTTTGATTTTTGTTGGTGTTCACTTCTAGAACTAATTAGTATTCTTCCAAGACTGAAGACAATGTGAGTGCCAAAGGTCATGGGAGCATGAGCCTAAACCACAAGGAATGACAAGAGCAGAAAACCTGGATGTTCTAGAAGTGACTCTTTCTGGACTGATACTGGGGAAACATCCTGATGATTTTGGAATAAAGTTTCATGGCAGTGATTGCTTGTTTTGCTAAGCTATTGAAACATTTGAAGTTATAATTATGTTTGTAAAATGAAATACGGCTCTCAGTTTTGAATACTGATCCATCTTTTTAAATAATGTCCAGAAAATTAACAATATCCAAGAATAGAAACAGTCCTCAATAACATGTAGAAATAAAGTCTAGTGTGTGATATGTACACATACACACACAGATACAGATATTATATTAGTTTCAGGCCATTCCACAGCCAAACTTGAAACTATTGTTTGGAAAAATGACAGTGTAGAATTATGAAGACCTGAGTTCAACTCACCAGAGCTCATGTAAAGCTGGGTGCAGTAGTGTGTGTCTGAAGTCCTGCTGATTCTCTGGGGAAATATGAGGTGGTAAAAGAAGAAACCAATGGACTAGATAGCCTGGTATATGTAGCAGCAAAACAACAAAGGGTGTGTCTCAAATTGGGTGAAAGGTCAGTATCAGATCTCTGACTTCTATGTGCGTGTCCTGGCACAGGCTCATGCCTGCATTAAATAAAACGTAATAATGGGTTTACTCATGCACACATGCACATAGACACACTATAAACACACTCTGGGAAATCATTCAATTTGTATTTATTTTTGTGTGCCAATGGGTCTGACTAAGTGAGTGCATGAGGTGTGGTTCAACACTATATGTTGGTTAAATAATACCTCTAATATACTTTTCTGGCTAACCTTACCTTTCCTGAGACCTAAATAGAAAATTCTATGGAAATACCATAAAGTATGAATTAAGC